TATTGCTGTGCTCTATGCCTTTTTCTGGTCTCCTCCACTTCTCACTGCTAGTTCTCTCAGGTTTAATACCAGCATATTGGATTCAGAGTAATATCTGGATACTTTTAAAGAGTGGAAGAATGAATCCTATATATGATATTAATGCAGTTTATGTACATTTAAAGAAATTAAAAAACTAAGTTCTATCTCTGTATTGTTTAGATTACAATGTAAAATTTCACTCAATTAACAAATATTTATTTATCTCATGGTCAATTTGGGAAAAGCCCAAGAATTAACATGATTGAATACATTAAAGCATTTCCGAGCTGCCATCACTCTAGTCTAGATTTGGTCTGTGTGTGTGTTTGAGGTGTGGAAAGATGCCTGGATTTATTACTGGAAATACCATTATGACCTTATTATAATGACTTATAAACCAGGAAAAAAAAACACCATAGCTAGACACAAGAAATTAGTACATGTTATATAGCTAGGTTTTATTTCTATATTTATTTAACTAAAGACCAAAATATCTAAAAGTATCCTTTATAAGACATTAATTATATTACTAGTATTGTGTAAACTGCATAGGAAATGTGAACCATTGAGATGACTGAAGAATGGAATCAGTAGAGCTTTCCAGCACAAGGAGTGGTTGACAAATATTATGTGCTGATTTATGCTTTTTGAGTAGTAAATGTATTGCTTTATAGGGAATACACAAGTAGAGACCGGCATAAAACCACTACATAAATGCCATAAATACTTAGGGGCAAGGTGTGCAGTAACAGTGGGGATAGTACACATAGGTGGGCCTGGGACGATATACTATTATTGAAAGAAACCCCCAGGTCCGTTATGTCCGCCGCCTATAGGAAAGACGTCTCTCAATGCCAGAGATTTGTGAAAAGGAAAGGAAATGCTTATTTAATGCTATACAGACTTAAAGTAGTTACCTAATGTCTTCATCAAAATCTTAAAGTTCCTTAAAACACCCACAAACAGACACAGTCCTTCCTTCTCCCTTTGCCCAGTCTGGGGTACCGTATCTCAGGAAAGAAAAAAGAAGTCCAGGGCTCAGGGAGTCCCCGGTTATTCCCAGTACTTTGTGCTAGGCTGGTAGGCCGGCCTCCCTCAGTTCTGGCACCCTCAGCTGTGTCACCAGGATCTCTGCTAAAGCCGGGTAGTGGTTCCCCCTTCTAAAGCTGCGGGGGTCCCCACTCTGGCAAAGGCATGTGGTCCTCTCTCCCAGGGCCACAGGAGTCCCCACTCAGCCAAAACCACGTGCTTCTCTCTCCTCAATGGCTGAGAGGAGGGGCGCCGCCACTCTGCCAAAGCCGAGTGGCTCTTCTCTGCTAAAGCTGCATGGTGATTCTCTCCCGCAGGGCTGCGGGAGTCTCCACTCTGCCAAAGCCCCGTGGTTCTCCCTCCCAGTGGCTGCCGTGTTTGGGTTTAAATCCCCGAGCCAATCTTCCTCTGCAGCCCTATTTCCGACTCCTCCCACACTCGGCCACACTTGCCGGGGCCTCAATCTGCTGTCCTTTCCAGCTTTTCTGGTTGCCATCATGGGTCTGGGCAGGTGTGGCCCCATGTCATGGAACCAATCTTCTCCGAGCTCCCATGCAGGTGCTGTAACTTGGGGGACCTGCCCCCCAGTCACATCTTGGGGGGGTCCCTTTTCATTGCCCTGGCTCAGAGCGTGGCCATAGCTATTTAGCATATCTAAGTGACCCGCCAAAGACTATAGGTATGTTAAATGACCATGCTATGGATTAGCTGCAAAGCTGCCCTGCATGTTCTTGCTCCGTGTGCCCCTTCCCCCAACTCATACCTGTAGGGGAAGGGGTGAAGACATCTTAAAATCTCCTGGACACCTTGAGTTCTGGACCCCATTTCAAATGCCCATTTGGGGTCCACCTCTTGGCTGCACTCTGTAACAGGTGCACACAATATCCTTTTGTTGCACATTTTATTCATTTTATTATTTTTTAGGGGGGCCCAGAAATGATATTTGCCTGTTCATTGTTTGCTAATGTGTGTCTAGCGTAATTTGGATAATATATGCTCAAGACTTCTGTTTTGTTTTCTTGGGTAATTACAGCACAGAATAACTTTTACTGAGACTTGTTACTCCATTGGCTAAATCCATTTAATACAGAGTGTGTGCAGCTGACTGTGAATATCGGGGTCCCTAGAAAAGAATTCTAGAATCCGCCATATGTGTTCTTTGCTGTTGACTCAGAAGAGCAATGATATATTTATTCTAAATCTTTAGTATTCAGCCCTAACTATGTGCCATGAGACTTAGAGAAATTAGGTTTGTTTAGAAAACCCAGAAACACATTTGTAAAGTCTGTTTTGAAATTGGAAAAGATATGCTGTTATTAAGAATGCTTAAGGTAAATATGTAAAGGTTTTATACCTTAAGTACTTTTTACCTATTTGAAAGCAAAATTTTAGATTGATTTGCGAGTTTATGAAGGTGTTGTTCTGCCAGCCATCGAGTTCCAGATCAGACTTATTTTCTGTCTCTCCTTCTCCCTTCCTGCCACGTGCAAGTACAGTTCACACCAAGGTGCTATTCCCTACCTTTTTCTACAACTTTAGTTTGGGACTTAGCACTTTGCTTCTTACTAACTACTATAGCCTTGTGGTTGATTGATCTGGCTTCCAGATTTTTCTCTCTCCTTGGGTCCATTCTGCAAACTGGCACCTAAAATTTTCAGAATGCTAGAATGCTTGTAATTATCTTAAGAGATTTTTTTTTTTTTGCCTAGTCAAAAGGGTCCTTCAGAGTCTTGGGTCTTCATCTCCATTTCTGCCCTTTAATTTAGATCCACTTTTTTCTCATCATCTCTTTTCTGTCTATAACTCTGATCTGTTCTCTGGGGTTAGAATGTCCAGCTTTCTTCTCTCCATGACTTCTTCCTGCCTGGCTCTCAAGGATTACTTCCTTTAGGAAAATATCCCCCTGACTCCTATGTGCCTTAGAGCATGCTTCCTTCACCTTCCCACTTTCTTTTCACTGAATAACATAGTTTTACTTTTGTGGCTTGTTAGGCATTTTGAAATTTTATTTAGTAAAACCAGAAACAACATTTTGTTTGCTGTCATTCCTGTACCCAACTTTTCTAGGGCTTCCCCTGAGCCAGTTCGCTGTACAGATCTGAGGGAGGGAGATCTCCCACTTTTTCCTTTAAGACAGATTGGAATTATATATGGACTAAACTAGAAAGTGTCTTGTGGGGGGGGGTTCCACCCACAGCCCCCCACCCCACCCCCGTCAGCCACCACAGATGAGAATAAGTCCACTGAAGCATGATCTGCTGGGGGAGGAAACATGGCTGATCTCTCAAAGGAGAAGGGCTAGGAGCCTGGTCCTCAATGGGCTTTTATTGGGTTCAATTTGCACAGGAATACAGGTAAAGCTCATCAATCACTGTCAGGCAGTAAGGATCAAACAATGGGTAATATACAAAGAATTCTGAGGGCTTATTCTGAGTCAGGGTCTAGCTAAAGGGCCATAAAACGTTGGGAAAACAAACTCATTTTATGCTTGGATTCTTATCATTTAAATTGAGGGCATTAGCAAAGCAAGTTTCACAGAATTTTATGCATTCTTTCTTAGGCCTGATTGCCACGGGGAACCTGCCCTTTTCCAGCACAGGACCTCACCCACCTCCAGCATTGTTTCAGGCTTAAGTCAGCAGGGGAAGTAAAGCAGGCAAGGGATTAGGAGATTTTTGCAGACAGAATGAGGACTCAGACTATGTCAAAGGGTGAGGGTCCATCACCCACTTTTTCTATAGCCTCCAAAGTCATTCCTAGGGCCCCTTCATGACCATGCCTGTCTTAGGTTGTCCCTCCCTTGAGGAATCTTACCTATCATTGGCTAACCAGTCATCCTTCTGGGGCCAAGCAGGGTGAAGTAAAAGTGGCCAGAGGCAGCGCCCCTAACTGGAAGATAAGCTTTGTCTCCTTAGTAGCTTATGGTCCCCAGGTCTCTTTACTCAGCCTTAGCCATGGGGGTTACAGCTTCTGAAACAGGCAGGGTGGTTTCCAACACTTTCTCTGCCTGAAACACCTCCTTATTTCCTACCCCAAATGCTCACATGGTGTTGGAGCCCTTATTTGATTAGCCTGTGAAGTTGAATTGTATTTATGGTATTTAAATTCTTAGACAGCACATCAATCTAGAATCAGAACATCTGGGTTAGTCCTAACTTTGCTATTTACTAACTGCTTAAAACATGGAAAAGTGAACCACCTCAATGATGAATTTAATTTTACGTGAGGTGAAACATTAATAACAGGTCTCACATGTTGCAAGGTTATTCTGAGTCTTGAGAGCAAAAATCATGATTAATGAACTTTATAATCCTTTGTACTAAACCCTATTTTAGGCACTTAATATATGCTAGTACCAATTCATGCAATAACTCATTGAATACTCCAAATAACTCCATGAAGGGGACTAATCCATTTTAGAGATGAGGAAACTGGAGAGCAATTAAGTTCACAGTCACAGGCAGTAGTGGTGGTACAAGAGTAGCCACCTGGCAGTGTGGCTCCGGACCCTGGCTGAATAGCCGTGCACCACATGGCCTCTTGGTAAGTGGTGCTGGTTTTCTTTGTCACCGTTGTTCTGTGATTTCACAGTTCACCGCTTCAGCCAAAAGCTTTGTAGTTTTAGAGACATCCAGAAGCCAGCCACTTGTGAATTCAAATCCTGGAACTTTTTTCCATTTTCATTTTCATTAAAAAAAAAAGAAAGAAAATAAACACAAGGTCTAAACACAATAACAAGCCTGCTCTGTGATTAAAAGGACAGAACACTGTACAAACTTAGGGGAAATCACATTGCTAAAATTAATACATATTGAGCTTATGTCATTTAATATTGGAAGTTAAAGAATTCAATATTTCAGCAATGAAAACAATGCAAATATGATGTGCAAAATATGTAGTGTAAAGACCGTCTGGGAACTTATGAGCTTTAATCCTTTTGTCTATTTTAGGACTTTCTGGGACAAGTGTTTTGTACATTGGGGGAGATTGTTGGTTCACAGGGAAGTCGCCTGGAAAAGCCAATAGTGTAAGTATTTTTTAATTCAGACAATTAAATATTAAGTCTCATTTTTATTTCTGCAGTTTGAAATTGATGAGTACATGGTTGTAAACCAACTGTGGGTTTTAAAATCTTCTTTGAGTTTTACTTTCAAAAATAATTTTGACATGGTTTTAGAGGATAATTTATATGTCAGCTGTCATACACCATACCACAAAATGTTCACAAAATGAAATGAGCACATTTAAACTCAAAAATGTGTTTTCCTTTTTTTTTGTACTATTAAGTCCTAGAGATTTAGTACTTTTTAAAAGAGATTTTAGTGCTTTGGGCCAGGGACTATATGTAGCACCATCTTTTACATCATATGTTTAATACATGCATTTTTAGTGACTAAGGTTTTAATGATTTTTATTACAAAATTGGTTTGTAATGAAGGCAGTAAGTGTGTAAATGATAAGAGAAGGTGGTAACTATGGATCGTATATCTTCTACCTTCACCTTCAATTACTGGGATGATGTTTCATTTTTTTATTAGTTGCATTTGATAATCCAATTTTCTCCAGTTGCACATGAGGCAGAAAACAAACTCCAAACTCTAGACATTTTTCCCATACTTCATCTTCCCCGTCTTCTTCCTTCTCCTCTTGCTAATGTGATTATTCGGATGAATTTACCTGTTTATTAAAATCAAAAGATCTTGGAAGGATACTTAAGGCATATGCAGAGCTAAATGCAGTGCCTAAAGGTTTGGGGAATTTTGAAATCTATATCTTCACCAGTCTTTTAAGAATCCTTTCCTTACAAAACGCACATCAAAACTCCCCAATCTATTCACTTTTGACATCAAGCATTATGGCTAAGCCATCATTCTTACATTCCTTATATAAAACTGAACTTTATGCTTAATGTTCAGTGCTGTGCAAGAACTTTTTAGGATAATAAGAGGTCTGTGAATTCTAACTTCTTTTTCTTAAAGATTGTATTTATTTATTTTTAAAGATTTTATTTATTTATTTTTAGAGAGTGGGGACCTCTCACGTGCCCCCTACTGGGGACCTGGCCTGCAACCCAGTCATGTGCCCTGACTGGAAATGGAACTGGCAGCCCTTGTGTTCGCACAGCAGCACTCAATCCACTGAGCCACAACAGCCAGGGAAAAAGATTATGTTTATTTATTTATTTATTTTTAGAGAGAGGGGAAGGGAGCAAGAAAGAGAGGAAGAGAATCATTGATGAGTGAGAACGACATCAATTGCTTGGCTCTCGCTTACCCCCAACTGCGGAGCTGGCCTGCAACCTAGGCATGTGCCCGGACCAGGAATCAAACTTGTGACCTATTGGTTTGTGGACAATACCCTACCCACTGACCCACACCTGTCAGGGATATTAATTTTGATGTCTTTTTATTTAATTTGATTTTCTTAGAAAATTATTATTAAAAGTTTAAAAACTTTTGGATAGCATGTAGTTTTTTAAACATTCATTTCATGTGTAATCTGCTTTCATATAACTATAGGATTTGGAAGATTATGATTTAAATATATTTTGTTCACTTTAATAAGTTAGTAATACATTATTTGTAAAGCAATGATCATAAGTATTTTGTTAAGTGTATATAATTATATTTTTAAATGAATATAATTCCTGTTCCATTTTTTTAGTCAGTGACTCAGGCCCATGAAGATTCTTGGACAATCACTAAATGTACCTTTTTTTTTCTGAAAAAAATCCATAATATATATAATGCCAGCTTAAAGATGCCTTTTAATATTCTTTGAGAGCAAACAAAAGTAATTCAAAATAGAATTTTTATTTCAGAGCAACAGAGTAGTGATTTTTATAGAACTTGTATCCATATTTTCAAATTGATAATTTTATTTGAAATTTTTATCTGAAATTTTCCCCATGAAAGGAAATCATAATTCTTGGTTCAGAAAACTCTTAAATTACATAGAATTTTTTCACAGTGGAAAATCATTGTTATGACCCTGGCTGGCGTAGCTCAATGGATTGAGTGTGGGCTGTGAACCAAAGTGTCGCAGGTTCGGTTCCCAGTCAGGGTCCATGCCTGGGTTGCAGGCCATGACCCCTAGCAACTGCACATTGATGTTTCTCTCTCTCTCTCTTTCTCCCTCCCTTCCCTCTCTAAAAATAAATAAATAAAGTCTTAAAAAAAAGAAAGTCATTGTTATGTTAGACTTGAAACATGTTAAAAGTTTGATATGTTGTGTGTGGTATGTGGTAGAGTACAGGGTGGGCAAAAGTAGGTTAACAGTTGTGAGTACATGAAACACAGTGTTGATAAAGATAATGTAGTAAGGATGACCTACATGTATTTTTCCACAGGAACAACTGTAAACCTGCTTTTCCCACCCATGTATAGTGTAAGATGTGGTCCTTGTTCAGCTAATTCAACAATTTCCACCAGATAAAACTAAGAAAAAGAAATTCATACTAAGAGGTGAAATACCTGGAGCAGTGATTAGCAGAGTATGCAAATGTTGGGAATGTTTGCTGGAGTTTGAGTCATGATCATTTTACGTAATCAGAAAAGATGAGATGTCCTTTAGATATTGCTTAGCTCCTGCTGAGGAGTTGGTAGCACACATGAGGCAAAACCTTAGAAATCTGTTCAGATAAAACGGAGGTATTGTAACTGAGGACATCTGTTTATGTCATCTGAGGGTATTTTGTAATTCACAAAAGTGTTTATATTATATCTATCTTATTGAAAAAGGTACAATACATTAAGCTGATTGAATTTGAAAAACCATATGCCACTAATCTTCTATTCAGCCTTTGACCTTATTGGGCAACCTTCTCAGGCGAATAGACATTCTATTGTAAAAGAGATTAAAGGTAGGTTTACAGTTTGAGCAGTGGGAAATTTAAAATATTTTTCTAAGTGTAGCTAGGTAAAAAAGTATTAAATTGGTACTGAAATATAGGGCTTCAGTATAGGAAAAAGATGGACTACAAAAGAAGCAAAGAACAAAACCTAAAGAATTGTAGAATGGGGCCCTACTACATGAGGGAATTAAATAAGCTACTTGAGATAAACAGAATATGAGAGAGGAAATTCAAATGGGAGATTAGTAAAAAATAAGACAGTAGAATTGAATATAGTTAGCTTCCTGCTAGAAGGATATCTTGGGTTCATTAATCAAAGCTTCCAGTAGTAATATCTTCATGTGCTCTCACCTGAGCAGTTACTCCAACCCAGTTGATCAGGAGAAAAATGTTTTTTTGTAGTCACTTACCCTCTTGCTTGAGAAAATATTGACTTTCGTTTAAAAAATCTAGCTATGAGAGGGGCATGTGTCTAGAGGAAGGGAAACGTGGATTGAAGAAGCAGGTTCACTAGACTGAGCATGCTGTCCTGGGTTCTTGGGAGTTCAAGTGCTTTAAGAAGATGTAACTCCTATTCAAATGGAATTTTATGCCTTCACCTCATCATTAATGAAAAGCAATCAAAACCATTCATACTTTTTGTTTGAAAAAGCATAGTTGGGGTTGAGGAAGAGAGTGAAATGCTATTTGCATGGAAGCTTGATCTTCCCATAGTGTCAAAGTAGCCCTTTAAAGGGCTTGTCCACTCCATGGATACTCTCAGATGTCCACCCTCGTCCCTGCTGACCCTGCTCTCAGTGACATCCTTTTCCAAGGGCTTGAGGTTTTGAATCAATCTAACGGATAGATGGCAGGGAGAGATGGGAAGGTTGGAAGGTATGGAACATTTCAGTAGAAAAGAAACAGCTTTGCAAAAAGGATGGAGCCAGTGAGAATACTGGAAATAATAAAAGGTCAGGGAAGTGTTTTCTTCTTTGACAGGAAGCTTTAGGGCAAACACAACTTCTAAAGAGTCCATGATTCATCACACAATATATAAAAATAAAGGAATACATGAAAGCAGAAATGATGAAGTTTACATTAAGGAAACAATATGTATTTAACATGTTGATCTTACCTCTATCTCATAGTCCCTCTTCCCTTCCGGCCCCCTGCTCCATCCCTGTCCTCCCTTGTGAACCTGCTCTGGCCAGGGCTTAGCTCTGCAGAGGCAACATTGTAGGGTGGGCACTAAACATCTTCGGGTTTGTCACTACCTGCCCCTCACGGCTGGAGATGGAAGTAAGATTTGTATACTCTCCTGCTGTAGCCATTACTTTTGGAGTAAGAGCTTTTATCTGGTGAAGGAGTTAGGGGATTTTCTCTCTCTATGTGAGTATAGGCTTCGGAACTACAGCCCCGGATGCCTCCAGAGGCAGATAAGCCACCTGCAATTAACAAAATGGACTCATCTGGAACTTTAAGAGTCTTCCTGTGTCCTGAATGTTTTTATGTAAATAGCATTATCCACATGATTTAGTGCATATTTAGTAATTTGTTTTGGATTAGAGATTTATTTTCCAATTAGTTTCCCATTTATATTCTAAATTATTCATAATATTCCCTTGTTTTCTTCCCTTTAAATGGCCCAGTTGAAATTATTATCTGTTAGATATTCAGAATAATTTCTTCTGGGTTCTTAATTGCCATTGTGTTATAATATCTTCTCAGAAGTTGCCTTTTTAAAGTGATAACTATAAAATTTAGAGACTTAAAGTAGGCATACTAGAGCTTCAAATTATTTATTTATTTTTTATTGTTCAATTACAGTTGTTCCATTTTCTGTCCATTACTCTTCCCCACCCCACCCACCCTCACCTCCCACATTCAATCCTCCCCTCCCATTGTCTTTGTCCATGGGTCCTTTATACATGTTTCTTGATGACCCTTCCCCTTCTTCCTTATGTTATTTCCCCAGCCTTCCCCCTTCTTGTCACTATTAGTTTGTTTTTTATTTCCATGTCTTTTGTTCTATTTTGGCCCCTCATTTGTTTCATTGATTAGGTTCCACTTATAGGTGAGATTGTGTGGTATTTGTCTTTTACTGCGTGGCTTATTACACGTAGCGTAATACTCTCCAGTTCCATCCATGCTATTGTGAAGGGTGGGAATTCCTTCTTTCTGCTGCGTAGTAT